TGCTGGAACCCCTAGGCCCTGAGGAAGAAGCTGCTAAATATTATGAAAATGTATGGCAGCCTTCAATGGCAGCAGCCCATACTAAAGATATGCATAAAATTCAGTTGGAAGACAGGATTGAAAAACTAGAAAAAGTGATGGAAAAAGAAAAACTGATAGAAAATCTGTCACAACAAATGGAAGCTCAATGGACTAGTCATAAACCTCATAAAAACATGCCTAGCCCAGTGGCAGATCTTAATCCTTCCCCTTGTGACAATCGGTTAGAAAAGGAACCTTTGATTGCTTTGGCTTCAGGAACTTGTGAAGGCTGGAAGCCCGTGAGAATAAACTCCCGACTCCTTAAGTCCCCAGTTCAACAGGGTTTACAACAAGCCCTTAAAGAGGGTGAGGATGTATCTGCATTTTCTCTGGCCTGCCCAGTTTTTGAGGCTCAGGATGCTCAAGGAAACCTTGTTCGTCAACATGCTCCAATTCCTTTTAAGCAATTAAAAGAATTGAAAATGGCTTGTGCCCAATATGGGCCAACTGCCCCTTTTACTTTAGCCATGCTAGATTCTCTTGTAACTGAGGCTTTGCCACCTTCTGATTGGAAACAGATTGTTAAGGCCTGCCTAGCTGGAGGAGATTATTTATTGTGGAAATCTGAATATGCTGAACAAGGTCAGAAAACAGCTGATTTGAATCAAGCTCAAGGTGGATTAGATGCCATTTATGATATGCTCGCAGGAGAAGGACATTATATAGATGTTGCTCAACAATTAACAATTAATGTTCCCTCCTGGAGTGTATACTCAAATTAATGCAGCTGCTAAAACGTCTTGGAGAAAATTGTCTTCCTCTGGAAGGGCTACAGAAGATATTTCTAAAATCAGACAAGGGCCAGATGAACCTTTTCAAAATTTTTTAGATCGTTTGTTGCAAACAGCTAGTAGAGTAATTGGAGAGTCAGAAGCAGAAATTATCTTAGTTAAACAGTTGGCTTATGAAAATGCTAACTCCATTTGTCAGGCCGCCCTTTGTCCTTTTAGGAAGAAAGCTGGATTTATCAGATTATGTTCGGTTGTGTGCGGATATAGGTCCTTCTTACATCCAGGGCCTTGCCATGGCTGCAGCTTTACAAGGAAAAACTGTAAAAGAGGTTTTATATCAACAACATAGAAGGGGCCCTCCAAAAAAGGTAAATAATGGAAATTACTTTGTCTGTGGTCAGGCAGGACATTTAATATGAGACTGCCCACAACGTAAAACAAATGGACCTTTTTCAAAGCCTCCTAAAGGACCTGGTTTATGTTCTAAATGTAAAAGAGGAAATCATTGGGCCAATGAATGCAGATCTAGAAAAGATATTATGGGTAATCCTATCCAGTCAGGAAACGGGTGGGGGGACAGCCTCAGGCCCCATATCAAAATTTTTGGGCCACTACCTAAAGATACTTTGGGTTTCTTCTTGGGTAGGAGTTCCTCTACTATGAAAGGGCTTATGATTTCCTCAGGAATTATTGATGAGGACTATACTGGAGAAATTAAAATTATGGTTTGTTCTCCTTCTCAAATTTCTGTTATTCAGCCTGGACAGCGCATAGCTCAATTGATTCTTTTACCCAGGATAGTTACCTCAGGAAAATATAAAAAAGCCATTAGAGGGGATAAAGGCTTTGGATCCTCAGATGTCTATTGGGTGCAATCTATTGGAGCCAATAGGCCAGAGATAAAATTGTTAATTCAAGGAAAATATTTTATTGTGGGTTATTAGATACTGGTGCTGATGTCTCTGTTATAACTGCTGATCAGTGGCCTTCCACATGGCCTTTGCAGGAGATTGTCTCTCAATTACAAGGCATTGGTCAAAGTAAAAATCCTAAACAAAGTACTGATGTTAAATTGGGAGTGATTCTGAAGGACATTGTGGGACTTTTCAGCCTTATGTTGTTCCTGGCCTCCTGGTTAATTTATGGGGAAGAGATGTCATGCAACAGATGGGAGTTTATTTATATAGCCCTAATCAAAGGTCTATAAGAATGGCCATTCAGCAGCAGAAAGATTTTGGCATCCACAAGGTTTTCCATATGCCTTGGTAAAATGGAGAGATCCTTTAACCAGCCAATGGTATGGACCCAACCCCATTTTAATATGGGGCCGAGGATATGTTTGTGTTTTCTCGCAGGAACATGATGGAGCTCGATGGCTACCACAAAGGCTGATTCGTCATGTGGATACTCCTGCTGATGTTAATTCCTGCAAGATGTGATGCCAATCCTCAAGGACATTGGACTTATATGCCAGACCCTCTCCTTGCACATCCTGTCTCATCTGATTCATGTGAAGTACCAGTACTGGTGAATGATACAAATATACTTGGTCATTTGTAAAGTAGTGTTTCTATGTTATAAAGAAAATTGAGACTGCTACATTGAGAAGTTTTTCTGGGACAAAAAAGACATTCCTCGATTGATCTTTAACCAACACTACATCAAAGAGTTCATCTGCTGGTCTTAGCCTTTCTGCTGGACTTTGGTGGACAGATTCACATTTTCCTCAAACCAACATTTGGAAACCTGCTGCAATGGGAGAAATATGCTTAGGGTCAGATGTCAAAGTTACTAGCCTTAGTTTCAATATTGTTGGCATAGGGGCCTCTAATATAATGTCTTGTGTTAACGCTCCTTATATGTTATTAGTAAAAAGTATAGAGATTGTAAATGAAACTGATAATGAATATGACAACAGCTGTTTTAACTGTAAATTGACTAATTGTATATTTTCAGAAATGATGACTTCCTTTCATTCTGTGATAGTTTTGAGACAACCTCCCTTTGTAATGATGCCTGTAAAAATTAATGAGTCCTGGTATGAAGATCAAGGTTTACAAACGTTGATAGAAGTAGAGAAAGCTACATGTCAAGCCTTCACAACCCATGGTATACCCCTGCAGAGGCTGGTAGTCAAAGACGTCAGAGAATTGTAGACATTTCTCACCTAAGACAGGCACAGTCTTTCTGCTGAGCTGGGAAACTCCCTGCTCTAAATATAATAAAAAGGGGGAAATGTGGGAGCCCACTGGCATTTGACATTGGAAAGTTAATCTATGACTCTATCTGTTTGTTTATTTGGCTTTTCTGAGACAAGGGTCTCAGCTATGCACATGAGATTGACCTGGAACTCACTGTGTAATCCAGACTGGATTACGGGCCTTGACCTGGAGCTCCCTGTAATCCAGACTGGTTTTATGGGATCACAGGCGTGCACCACCACGCCCGGCTCAAGGACTTTGTTAAGTTTGACCTTGTGATGGGAGGAACTCAGATAGCCAAAGATCTGATCTCCCTAATAGTTGGTTGGTGCTTCCTGTTGGCCTGCCTTTAAAAGGAGCTGTTTCTGTGAAATCAGACCTCTTGTCTCCACACTATTGAGTGTGCTGTCCTTTCTCAATCCTCACTCCCCAGCTCAGGTACATTCGTGTTGTGACGCTGGGCCGCCACAGACCCCCTAAACCCAACCAGGAATCTTTAAGGCTTTGGGGGCAGCGTTACTGTCATCCCATTCTGCCATTAAAATTTAGGCTTAGCCGGGCGTAGTGGTGCACACCTTTAAACTCAGCACTCAGGAGGCTGAGGCAGGAGGATCGCTGTGAGTTCAAGACCAGCCTCGGCTACAGTGAGTTTCAGGTCAGCCTCAACTACACAGTGAGACCCTATCAAAAAAAAATTAGGCTTACATCAGAAATCAATCAGAACGTCATGCTTTTCAATTTTAGGGTTAGGAGGCCAAACGGATCCTTCTGCCGGATGGCTGTCCTGGGCTCGGTTTGAACGCGTCTCGTCTACCTTGTAGCAAAGTGGGCAGAGGACGGTGCTAGGAACAGTCCTGGGCCCGCAGCCGGTCCCGAAATACGGACTGGATCTCCCAGCCCCGCGCGGCCGACGCCACCAACTCGTACGGCGGGCAGCGAGTCCGGGAGAGAGCCGCCGAGCGCCACCTGCTAGGAGGGAGTCCGCCCCAGGCC